GTTTCTTTGGTTTTTTTTTAATTGCCTTCTCTAATTTCTATCTTCTTTGCTTGAATCAAACATGTGATGATGAAAATATAGCTACTGTTCTTACATGTGATTTTTCTGGCTGTTGCAGGAGGTTTTGTGAGAAGGCCCAGCTAGGGATAAGTTTATCTTGTTGTAAAGGTTTGGTCTCCCTGTGCGCTAAGGCCACCAAATACACAAAGCTCTCGCCTGGAAGCTGTGTGATTGCAGTAAAGCCTGCTGACAGGTTATTTTAGTTTGTGTCAGACTGCATATGGCTTCTGGTGAGCCCAAAACCACAGGTTCTCAGCAGAAGAGGTAATTTCTGCCTGCAGAAGACCTGAGATGGGGTTTCTTCTGTGGGAAGCACTGTTCAACTGTGGTAGGTCGCCTTACCTTTGTCTATTGCAAAAATAAGGTGGTAACTTTGGATGCTGAAGTGGAATTTAACAAGGTAGCTAATGCTAATAGCGTTATTATGGAATGAATAGCAACAATTAACTGCTGCTTTGGGATTGAGCAGAGAGTGATGCAAAACCATGTTATATATGTTGTTACAGAACTATCTAATTTTCTTTTATATATTCTGGAATATAAAATAATTAATATTAATATATAATAATTAATATTCTGGAACCACCTGTATACTTAAAGTTAACATTTTTATTTTAAAAAAACACCTCAGTGAATATTGCGTCATTTTAATTAATGTACTGCACTAGGTATTAACATTTTCAATGTTAAATACACAGACCTAGAACTGCTATCAGTTTGGACTCATGGGCTTAAAATCTGAAAAAGAGCAAGTTTGCAGCATGTGTGAAACCCACATCAGAAAGCTGAGGATGCCAATTTCTTAGAGAGATTCTCTATCTTGGGTTGCAGCCCATCAGCTCAGTGTGAAGATTCTGCATGGGTAAATGTTACCATCACTAGAGAGGGCTTGAAACTCAGAAAACTCAGTTCCTGCTTGATTTTAATTTTGTTTTCAGCCACAGACAAATGTTTTCTGTAGATGTTTGTTTGATATTGTTATGATAAACATGTTTTTCAGATTATTTTATTCTTCAGTACTGCTCCATGGCTCTGTGTGATACAGAGTTTTGTGTCATAGAAGGTAACTATTACTTAATGCATTGGTATCAAGAAACCCAGGTCATATTGGGATGCACTTTTTCTATTCACTAGAACTTCTACTGGGACTTTCATCTATTCAACATCCGTTCAACAGTTTGAATATTAGCAGTGCTTATAGACCAGCTAGCGGTGACTAATTGTTTCAATAAACAAACAAAACCCAGGAGCCAGGAGTGGGATTCAGGAGATACATGGGTCGTGCTGCAGCTGCTGTGGTTGCCTCATCACCTAATGCCCCAGTTTTCCCCAATGAAAACCAGGGAAGACAGCATGCAGAAGCAGCTGTCTGCAAGTGAAAACTCTATTCTATATTGGTCAAGGTGTAACAGAGTGACAAAGTAACAGATTTACCTTAAAAGTAGTTTTCATTTGTTTTGAGGAAGATATGTGGTGACTTCACAGCCGTACAGGTGAATATTTGTGTAGTGTGAAGATGGATCAGTGGAAGCTGATGCAGACTTTTTGATACTTAAAAGTTGGGAATGTTGGGCACCCCTGTATCTCCCCCAAAACACTGAGAATCTGTAACTGTTTCTGATTTCAGTCGGAATTCTGAGTATTCAACATCTCTCCAAACAGATCATATTTGTTACCACGTTACTATGGTTGGCAGGGAGCAGGGCAGGTCCCTGGCAGGCGATGCTGTGAGAAGTTTAGATGGGTGGCAGCACAAAACTCCCACAGCTTTTTTGAAGAAGACAACAATGTGTCATGCAAACAGTTTCATGTCCTGAGGGATGGTCTGGGGGAAAATATGGATAAATGTTCTAAAACTGTACTGAAGAAGAAGAGGTGATGTGTAGGTTTGCTAAGAGGTAAGGGGGGTGGTTAGAGATGCTTCTCAATGAAGTATTGCAGTTTTGGAAAGGAACTTGCAGAGTAACAGGTGAGGGTTCAGTTGCCCTGAGCCTTATTTATGGAAACAGAAATGTGGCTAGAGCCATTGGCTCGGAAAAAACGCAAGCAAAACAGGTTTCTGTGACCACATGCAGATTCAGAGGCTGATTATCTGACTTGGGAAACTGGTTCTTCCCTGCAGAGATCTCCAAGGCAGTGATAATTTAGTGTAGCAACTAGGAGCAGGTATTGACCAATTGCATTATTGATTTATTTATTTAAATGCTGATTTTTTTCAAAAGGATTATGGTTTTGTTTCTTGTATAATGTTAATGTGACCAAAGAGGGTTGGCAGGGAAATGAAATATTTTAGCATTATCTATTGTCTTCTCAAGAATGCAAAGTGACAGATAACCAGCAAAATGTGTGCATGTGTGTGCATCAGAAGAAGAGTAAAACCAAAAAGAGATTATCTGTAATAATCACAGAATTGCTGGAGTTTGCTCTAGAAATCATCTAGTCCAACTCTCCCACTGAAGTAGAATAACCTAGAGCACTTTACACAGGACTGCATCCAGGCGCGTTTTGAATGTCTCCAGAGAAGGAGACTCCACAACCTTCCTGGGCAGCCTGTTCCAGCACTCTGTCACCCTCACTGTAAAGGAGTTTTTCCTCGTATTTAAATGGAACTTCCTATGTTCCAGCTTGTACCCATTGCCCCATGTCTTGTCACTGGGAACTACTGCGAAGTGCCTGTCTCCATCTTCCTTGCACCCACCCCTTAGATATTTATATACCTTGATAAGGTCTCCCCTCAGCCTTCTTATCTCCAGGCTAAAGAGTCCCAGCTCTTTCAGCCTTTCCTCATAAGAGAGGTGCTCCAATCCCCCTAGCATCTTCGTCACCCTCCTCTGGACTCTCTCTAATAGTTCTCTGTCTCTCTTGAACTGTGGAGCCCAGAACTGGATGCAGTATTCCAGATGTAGCCTCACCAGGGCAGAGTATAGGGGTAGAATGACCTCCCTTGACCTACTGGCCACACTCTTCTTTAAGTAACCTAGGATTCCATTGGCCTACTTGGCAGCAAGGGCACATTGCTGGCTCATGGATAATTTGCTGTCTGTAATCACAATTTCCAGTCCCATTATAGTATTTTACTTATGCATCCTAACTGGTCTTATTTTGTAATTACACCTAAACCACAGACTAATTTTTTAGCATATGCAGAGATAAAAGGATATTATAAAGAAGTGAACAACTATATCCACCTGTATGAAATGGAAGGAGTGTGAGAGACAAGAGTTCAGTTGGCCAAAACAGGGTGAAATGCAGTACCTGGGCTAGATGGAAGGCAATGGGTGTAATTTCCTGTACTGTACAACAAATACTGACATGTTTGGGCACAAAGCACAAGGAGAGGCACTAAACTGATTTTCTTTACATTTATTTAAACTTTGCTTTTATGAGGTAATGTTGTGAGGATGGCTGTGGCTTTTTGAACCAATGCTGTGAGATGCACTGTTTTGTCTGTGGTGATGTTGTCCACAGGGAAAAATATACATACATTTCCCCAGTGAATTTTGAAACACTCTTAAGTAGTAAATAGGTGCAGAAATTAAGCCCTGTGAGAAATGAAAAAAGGTTTTGTTTTGGGTTTGTTGGTTTTTTTTTTGTTGTTTTGTTTTTTTTAATGGGTTGGAGGGAAATTTCCTAGTGGTACAGAGATCTGCAATAATTATCTAGGGCTTTGGCTTGGATTATCCCCCTGTCCCCTCCACACCCACACACACTTGAGAAGGTATTCACAATCACTGGTGCCTCAGCAGATGCTGCTGTTCTTCCTCAAGACATGGCCTCATCCCACAGCCGTGCTGCTGCAGTGGGAGCTGCTCTCAAGGTCTGCACCTGCAGCGTGCCCTGGCCTTGGAGCTGGGCTGGAGATGTGGGCTGGGAGGTGCAGCAGGCAGGTCTGGCAGGAAGTTAGCAAAGGGGAGGGTCCTAGGTGAGGAAGTTTTCTGGAACAGCTTCTGCATAACCTCTCCCACACCTGTCATTCCTGCCTCTGTGCTACTTCATGTGTTATCTGTGCAGGCAGCCATCTGTGCTGCATGGGGATGAGTTTTGCTGGATCCTTTCCCTACACATCGGGTGGCAACGAGCAGGTGAGGGAGGAGGTCAGTTGTGCTTAACTGGCAAAGAACAGAGTGACTGCCTGGCTATGTCTCTAGCAGGACATTAGAGCCAGATTTGCAACCAAAGTAACTGTGTGTGAGTTCATTTTTATGTACTCCTAAGTCCGTCCTACAGCTGTCAGTCCTGGTGTAAAACTTCGAAGTAGTTTGACACTACTGAGCAACCAGAACTCTCCGATGTAAATTGCTTGGGTTGTTGATGGTCAGCATGACACCTTTCTAAATAGAAGATGGAGGGCATATGTTTTCTGAGAAATAAGCTTTAACTCTCTTAATCCTCTAAGCAACCTTTTTTCTGAATGTTTTCAGTAATATAATTGGAATGAATTTTCAAGATGACTTTTACTGGTCCATGTTCAGTTTTGTACAACAAGCATTTTTGCAAATGTCATTTATATATGCACAGACCTTAGCAATTAAAACTTTGATATGCATTAGGACTTTGTAATGAAGAGCAGTTGTACACTGTGTTTGCCTGGAGCACATTGCAGACTTCTCACCCATGTTTTCTGTGATGTAGGCTGCCGTGTCCCTTATTTCATCCCAGTAAAGTCTAGCTTTTGGCTTCCTGGGAACATGCCAGCACAGCCCTCAGCTGAGCAAAACCTTAACTTCCTTGTCTAATAATTAACTTTTGTAAACTTCCAGATGCTTAGGGTGAGCTCTAGCTTTCTGTGTATTCAGGTAGTTTCATTTATGTGTAGAAGCTCTTTTTTACTACAGAAATCTCCAGCTCTGTGATCCTCCAGAGATACCGAAATGATTTATTCCTCTTGTCTTCACAGGAACTGATATTAAATGGCTAGAAACAGCTGACAAGTGGCTGAAATGAATATGACTACTATCCTACAAGAGATTTTGATTAAAAGATCACAGCAGAAGAAGAGGACTTCTCCCTTAAACTACAAAGAGAGGCTTTTTGTACTCACAAAGTCTATGCTAACATATTACGAAGGTCGAGCGGAGGTAGGAGACACAGATTTATACTATAAAGTGCCTTTGTTCCTATTTGCTTTTGTATACTACTGTTTTTTTCCCTAGCGTATATAATACTGTCAGGAAGAGAAGGGGACAATGGCCATGGGGGCAATGAACATGAGCTGCCATTTGTCTTTTATTTATAATGCAGATTGACAGAGGTGCAGATAACTTATCTGGTGTTCAACGTGAACTTTTTCTTAATCAGAGCAGTAGTACATAGCCAGGATGTCAGGAATAAGATAAAACTGCTTTTACAAGTGATGATCAAAGCTGACTTCTTTCTCTCTCCAGAGAGAGGAAAGATCACTGTGATAACAAAGCGGGGGAAAGGAAGAAAAAACTTACAATTGTAGTAGCTTGTGTCCATGTTTAACATGAAGGGCATTACTTTCATATCTGGGAATTAACTGAATTCAAACAGGAGAAAGGGCATTTGTTAGGAGCAGTGCATTGCAGACCAAGTTTACTAGAAATGAGATCCATTAGAGTGAATCATGTAACCTAGTGATTGAAATGAAGTTGGAAGCAGTTTATCTTTGGCAGCATGAGGAGCTCATCTCTGTTAGAATTTTCTGTGTAAATTCAGTCAAGGATTAAGAAAAAGATCAGACTGACTGAGGTTGGAAGGGACCTCTGGAGGCAATCCTCATTTGCACTTCTTGTTGAAGTTGGTGAGGTCCCTGTCAGCCTGTTTCTCCATCCTGTGGAGGTACCTCTGGATGGCAGCATGAACCACTGGCATATCAGCCACTCCTCCCAGTTTTGTGTTATCAGCAAACTTGGCAGAGGGTGCCCTCTGCTCCATCACCCAGGTTATTAATGAAGATGTTGAACAGGATTGGACCCAGTACTGACACTTGGCGTACACTGCTTGCTGGTCAGTGGCTTCAAACTAGACCTTGTGCCACTGATCACCACCCTCTGGGTCCAGCTGTTCAACCAGTTTTCAATTCACCTCAGAATATGAATTTTTGTATTTTTACTAACTGTGCAGCTTAAAGTACTTATTTTAGAATATTTTTTTAAAAAATTAGTGGTTTTAGAATGCTTCCTCCCCCCTCCAGAATAAATAGGTGGGGGCTAAGAAGCCCTCTGAAACATATTTTGAATGCTTAACCCTGTGTCAGCTTACATTCGGGTGAAATAGAAATGTAACTAACAGGTTTTTCAGGTCTAGTTGTCAGCCTTCAGGAAGTTCCACTTCTAGCTTTTCCCTTGTAGCTTTCCCTTTCCCCTGCTGGTTAATGTCCTCTGGCTAAAATACCATTCCAGGAGACTGACTGGTGGATCTGTCCGAGAGGGGATTCAAACTACCAGTTTTATTTTTTAGTGAGCTGGAGCTGGGCTGCCCGTGTTGCCCTCAGCTGTGGAGTCAGTAACTTCTTAAAATACTCCAGCACAGGGTAAGGACACATGGGGCAAAAATCTACATTACACTGATGCTAGCCCAGCAGTTTGCTGCTGATCCAGGCAAGTCCCTCTCATCCCTGACCCAGCCTTGCAGGACTTTCTTATCCATTTGGATTGGTCCTGGCACTTCCTGGAATCCAAACTGCTGTGAAAAAAACATGCCTGACACCAAGAAGATACTTAATCCTTCTTTATTTTTGCTGGATTAGTGCTTGCTGGGTTAGCAAGCTGTCAGCTCCATGCAGGATCTAACAAGTTCCAGAGGAGGTGCCAGGTAGTGCAGGACAGGATGCTCCAGCTGTTGACATCAGCTGGCTCATCAGACTGGCTCAGCTGAAGCACAGCTTTCCAACCTCAGACCCTTTCATTTTCACCATTCCTCCTAGATTCTTTTAAACATTAATAAACACTTTATTAACAATATTATCTGAAAACAATGAGTTCTTATCTTAGAGGGGTACACTGAATATTTTTGTCAGTAATACTTGGTCTCTATTTGAAAAAAAAAATAAATCACAGCAGGACTAAGATCTCTGTGACTCAGTGGCAACTACTTTTTGTGGCACTGGTAAACTGAAATTGAAAAAGTTTAGGGGTTTTATCAGCTGTTTGGTTTTTGCTTCATTTTTTTTTTAAGCCAATGCTAGTGACTGTAGATTTGTATTTACAGTAAGACAGTGGTATATTCTGGTGGAAGTAACTTATAAAAATGAATCAGTTGAGATTAAAATATTTCTGGCCCTTCTGAACAGTTGGAGGTTTATTGCTGGAATAAGTATGGCTACTGTGTACGTTGGTTGAATTTAAAGATATGGCAGGTTAAGGGATAGGTATGGACTGATCTCATTTCAGGTTTGGCAATATTTAAAGTCCAGATTGCTCAGATAAGCATGGAAATGCCAGGGCAAGAAGATCCCACGCCCTAATTTTAATCACATAACTGGAGTCACAACACTCTGCCAAGAGTGGCTGAGTTCTGCTCCTCTAGGCAAGTACATGATTCCTAGTGTGGTGACTGGCCAAACTGAAGTGGGTTTTTTTGTTTGGGTGGTTTTTGCTTTTTTTTTTTCCTTCCCATTTTAACTTATAAGGGAATTCAGTAGAGACAGTTCAAGAAGAACCCAGGGTTTGTGATCACGTGAATGCCACTTCTTTTAAAAAACAAGATTAAATTAAACCTTGTTTTCCAGATTAGTCAATACTCAGAGTGTGGGCAAGTTGGCGTTATGAATAAGGTGACAGAATTAGATACTGACAGAAGTGGAACATTTATGACAACTAAAAGCAGTCAACCATAGCAAATGTTGTTCTTGTAAATGCTGCTGAGAGATGTAATTGATCCTGTCCGGTGCAGCTGGTGGTGGGGAATCACTTTGTCTTTGACCAGAAGCTGTACATTAGAGAAGTGCTCTTCTCTATTTTTTCTCTCTTATGTGTTGACAAATTGTCATATACTTACTTGGAGCAATAAACAATTGTATCATAAGCATGACTACTAGCGACAGGGTAAAATCTTGTTGAAACTTGCTCATAACCTATTTAAATCTTCTTACACGTACTCCCAAGCAGCTCAGGCACCCTGTCATGGCACAGAGTGCCTACAGCCCAGCTGGAGTTGCACTGTTGCCATGACAAGGAGAAATGCGGCTTCTGCTCTTAGAAATATTGCTGGACTGTAGGTCATGGAGGAGGTGTGTGAACTATCAGTGAAGCTTAACTACAGAATCAGTAAAGAGGCTGAATTTCAAGACTGGTTTCAAAGCACAGAAACCTGAGGAAGGAGAGTCCTGGTTTAGGTCGCCTGTGTAAAGCTCTACAACTATGAGTAATGTCATGGGAAACTTTGGTATAGGAGGCCAATAGGACCTTGGCATTTGCGGCTTAACTTCTGGGCATTATGCTCTTTGTAAAAAACATGGGAGATGTATCACCTTAAGGTTGGTTGAAAAGATGGCCAATAAAAACCTTAAAAATAGAGATACATGAGGAGCTGACTTGCCTTAAGCATCACAGAGATTATTTTTAAGTTGTCAGAAAAGAGTAATATTCTGTTTAAGCTGGAGGCAGCTTCTGGTCTTGGCTTTTTTTCCCTTCCCCTCTCCCCCTATAAATTCTGTTAATTAGTAAGTGTAAATGTTGAGAAAATACCATTATTGCAATCTTGGGCTAGCAATAATTAATAAGCATATAAAAGATTGCATTAATGTTTTAAGTTTCATGAAGCCTTTAATGGTTCATCAGCTGTTATTGTTGGAAAGAGTATTTTCTCTCTGTTTTTTCCTTAATGTCGCAGAAGTGTCTTAAGGAGATCTGGATGTGATAGATTCCATTTGTAATGCAGACAAAAATTCACTGTAGTAAGAAATAACAAAATCAGCCTCCAAGTTCAGAATACTGATCATGAATGTATAAAAATAGGGAAGAAGTAAAATATCTTCCTATTCTAAGTATGGAGATTTACTATAGAACTACTATACTACTATACTACTATAGAACATTCAGAAAGATTTAAGATATGTGCAGTGTTCTGAAATATTGCAGACTTTAAATAGGCTTATGTAGACAGTAGTGACTGTGGTGGTTTGGAAGTGGGAGGTAGAAGGCATTTTGAATAGGTCCTCAAGGCCCTTGCTCGTGAGGCCTCCTGCTCTATGCTTGCTGGTGTCAGCTGGAGTGATTGATTGCAATGTAACTTCTTCAGATAACCTGGCTGTATAACAAAGGCATGTAGTGTTCTAGTGAGGAAACACTGATGTGAAACATTTTATTAGGAAATCTCTTTCAAATTTTGTGTGGTTTGAAAGCTCAGCATACTACTGTAGGTATGCTTTTGTTCATCTTCCTGAACTATTTTCTTCTAAGAAATCTAAAAATACTAATCTGTAGGAAATTAGCAGTTACAGTGGAAAGGAATACTTGTGTTACAGCTCTACCAGTATGCCTGGTGGCTGGTGTCCCACGGTGCAAACACTGCTCACACTCCTTTGCAGAGTGATTTAGCGGCATCATTTATTCCTCCTGAGTCAACCAACAGATCACTCAGCATTCAAGCTACTGTGTCCACTAGAGTGTTCCATCAGGTACTCTTGGTTTATGCTCTTTCTCCTTGTGTGGCAATAATTCTTACTGTTTTGAATTCTTGCTCAACAAATGGTCAGAAGATGTCTTTGAACTGTGAGAAGACATTAGGGCAGTCTGGTGTCCCTGACTGGAGCAGGCTTACTGCTGCATTACAGAATAGCTATGATAGAAGGTAACATGTACTTCACACAAGTTTTAGTTGTCTCCTGCTGACAGAGCATCTCACTTGAACTAAAAGTGCCACCTGACTAGTGGTTTTTGCTCTAGGTGATATTTTAGGCAAGGAAAATTCTTTGAGATGAAGGCAAGATAATAAACGTAGGTGTTAAAGCACTTATCGTCACTGGAGTCGTTGAAAGGAGCTGGTTTGTGCAAGTGAAATGTCCTGCTGGTTTGTTGGTTTGAAAATTTTCACACTGGTGTTTGTCACAAGTGCTTCCACAAAGCTGGCGCAGATCCGGTCATAATATTATAAATCGTTATCGATGTATGGA